TAACGTTTCTTGGGAAATATATAGTAAAGTTTATTTCATAAAAATATAGCGCGCAAAAAACCTTCACATTTAAAACAAACAAAATAATTACTGAAACAAAATAAAAACAATACTTAGTACACAAGAGAGATCTAGTCTTGTATATGTTATTTTCAAATATGTGCTATTTTTACAACGAAAATCTACAGTATGTTAGTTCTTAATCACACAAATCGATCAAACACAGTAAAAAATATAAAAGATTTAAAACAGTACAATTATGTTGATCTTAAAATGCAGGAGTCGTCCCATATCAGGACGAAACGGTTGTCCAGTGCAGTATTTCTAAACTTATGGATGTAGGTTTACAGTTCATATGCGTCAGTCTTTTATGAATTGTAATTTCCGTATAAGCATAAAGACGTTATTGATATCAAGGTTGTTTGATGTATGGAGCATGTAGTTTGTTGAAGTGATGTTATTCATATGGAACCAAACAAGCATGTATATACATATATATATATATATATATATATATATATATATATATATATATATATATATATATATATGGCAAAGAATGTATGCGAACCACATTTCTAAGTGACGATTGATGGAAATCTTATTAATATTATTAATATAGAATTACAACTATAAATTACATGTTTTTGACCTGTTTTTTCCCTAGCTCATTCATCTACTTTAATTTCTTATGGACTGTTTCTGTTTCGTGTTTTGTATTGCATATATTTGGTTAGATTATTGAATTTTTAATTGAAAGAAAAACTTCGGTTGTAAACAGTTATTTATACACCGAATGAGTATGCTCGCTGACAGGGAAACCTAAATCCACAAATCGTATTGTTTATGAATATCCTTATTAGACGCTAGATACTTAGCAGTATACATCATTGAGACTTTAGTACTGATCAAGTTTTGTAGATAAAGTCACAGTGAATTATAAGGCTAAATAACTTCAAAACCGTTTGTGCTGATATTTTGTCAGTCAAATGAAAGCCGTGAAAATTATTCTGTCGTTAAATTAGACTCATTGTAAACATTCCCACTACATCTTACTCTTTCCTTGAAAAGATCAAACTTTTTTTATTTACCTGCTAATGTCATTTGATAGTTTGAACATTTTTAATCATAACATTGTGTGAAATAATTGGTCTGATTGATTCTACGTTAATGGTAGATACTTTAACTAAAATAAAGAGTTACAGGGTTGTGAAGATTGTCAAGTTACACATTTTTGAAACCATGAATCGATCAATGTTAGACCACCATTAGTAACCTGGAAGCACTGGATGGCCGTTTCGTCCTGGTATGGGACTCATCAGTGGCAGTGCGCATCCACCACTCCTACAACTCCTGCGCAACTCTGTGGATTGATTAAGTTAGACATTAACACCGTTAGATACCGGATCACTGGTCCGATAGTGAGGCGTTCGCCTACAATAACGGAGGTCCTGGGTTCGGATCTTGCGTGATGCAGGAGTCGTTGATGCGCACTGCTGAGGAGTTCCATACCAGGACGAAACGGCCGTCTTTCAGTGCTTCCAGGTTACTAATGGTGGTCTAACATTGATCGATTCATGGTTTCAAAAGTGTGTAAAATAAAGAATCACCATTTAATTTACTTCGAAAGTTAATATGCTACATACCGATTCGAGTAGCTCATTTTACACATTCAGCGGCAAAAAATATTATCTGATATAATGAGATTCAACTAGAATAAAAGCGATATAACGTGAAGTGTCTTGGATATTTGCATTAAGAAATATGTGTATCAGCTTTTATTTTGCTTTTTATATTGAAGAATCATTTTATACTTTTATCTTATATTGAAGGACTTGACGTAAAGTCAATAAAAATATCTGATTAACAGTAGCACATGAAAGCTTTGCTTCTTGAACTATGTTCTGAGCTAATGCATTACATTTTTGCTTCATTTTGACAGACACCGTTCTTGATGAGCTATAGTTTTCAAAACCACAGCTCTGTATTCATTATTAATAAATGAAAAATAAAGGGAGATACCGTTTTTAAAAAAATTTTCAACACAATAAAATATCCAAGTACTTCCTAACCTCCTACTAGTCAATCTGTTGAGATTTCAATAAGTGTAAACAGAAATGGCGATTTCAGTTTATATTTACTGTTACGTCAGATTGTTTTTCTGTCATTGAGTTTCATTATAACATATGAATATTTTAATGGAAGCTGCACTTGTTATATACTAATTTACTGATGTCTTCATCATAACACATGAGCAGTTAGTGTTAGGAAGACATAAGCTATTTGAATTGAGATAGCGTAATGAAAAAACAACACTATACAAAAAATCACATAATATTTTATATTACAAATTGTAGAAAAGTTTATCAAAAACACCCTAACCCGTGAGGTTCGATCGTTTCAAATAAAAAAAAATCTGTTTTCCTTAAAGTTACTATGCTTAACAAATCAAATAAGTCTTTAAAGCCGATTGGTGAATGAATTCGGTATTTTTTTACAGAATCATATCTTCGTATCCGACCGGTTTAACTCTAACCCAGTAGGCTGTTTCAAATTTCTAACAAAAATCTTTTTAGTTTGACAAGAGTATTAGAAAAATGAACTTCTAGCAAATATATTCTATCAGCCTCTAGATTCAACAAGACAATTTAAAAAAAAAAACAATCACTTTAGGGATTTAATTAACTTGATTGTAATTATTTAATGGCATAAAATGTCTAGTAGAGAATTTACAAGCCAAACCATTTTTTTCAGAATATTAAAATGCATAATGTATACTCATCAAGAAAATTTCCTCAAGAGATTAAAAAAGTCTAAGTTTCTATTACATATTATTTTGTGAGTTTAAAAATTTTTTGATTCTCATTATATTTTTCTCACTCAGTCAAACTTCTGTAATTTGAACGATCCAGTTGAAAGAAATGATCTTAATTTAAAGATTACATTCCTCATGTTCTTTTTCACCTTTTTTTTCTTTTATTTTGGAAACTGTTTATTTATATTAGGAATTTAATGACTTTTAACTTAATAGTTAGTCAATCCAAAAATCATTCAGTACTTTTCGAATAAAATCATTGATATGTTATGATATTTTCGACTTTTTGTAAATTAGACAAATTTATCTATGGTTAGGGCTTCGTTAGCTTACTATTCAATGGTGAACACTGACGGAAAATAAACTACTCTATAGACTACTGATATAGATTAACATAAAACAGGACAATAATCTTGTAATAACTAATTTCTACTCAATACAAAAAAAATGAAAGACAGTAATACAACAGGACACATGGTTTATACAAATTAAAAGTCTAATGTTTATAAATCTAATATCTATTAGATTAGTTCAAATTAATCACTACTTTGCACTAGCTAATGTATAAACATATTCGTTTGTTTAAATGCAAACTTTCAGTTTTTCTTTTCTTATTGAACAGCTGTAAATTTAACGACGGTGTGTTTATACTTGTCTGAAAAGCATATTCTACAGATTGATTCAATTACTTTCAAACTTGATTTACAATGAAAAACTTTTTTCTTTTATTTCAAAAAAAAATAGAAAAGACTATTTATTCAAATTGTTTTGTGTAACTCTTTTATTTTTCTGTCTGTTTGAAGTGAATTAATTTAATTTTATGGGGTAATTTTGTAAATTTTATTTTCGTTTGATAACAGTAAAAAAGATTTCTTATTGTTCTTATACTTGTGCTATTATGTTAATATTTATATATATATATGTGTGTATATTCAATTGCCTATTCAATAAATTGACTTGCTTTTCAATGGAAAGGTGTTTAATTAAATAAGCTTGACAATCGATAAGTTAGATTTATTTCAAACATTCTATAGATCTATAAAAATACTACTTTTGTGCATATTTGGATAGTTAGATAAAGTATCTATCTATGAAGTAATACTTATTGCATTATCTAACCTTAAAGTTGTTTTCTATCCAATTTTTTATGATTATTCTTGTTTTTTATAAAACATGATGATTATTATGGTTTCAAATAATTTCGACTAGTAAATCTATTTTAACTTCACTCATATTTCAGTCAGTCAGTTACAACGTAGAACTTCGTTCATAAGTACATCAGTTCAAGTTGCCATACGACATTAGCAAAGAGATATAATTGTCAGTTCAAATCCTATAGTAGTAGAGGTAGTTAAAGTATTAGGAGTAGTCGGAGAGACTAGGATTCAGAGATGTCATTCAAGAAGTATAATTCAGTGAGGTAAATTTAGGAAGAGAAAGATAGAGTTGCTGAGGAATTCAGAAGGTTAGAATTTCATAGATCACAAAGAGTAAATGCACTTGCGCCATTTCAAAAAGTTTGAGCCATGTCATTCAGGGTCTTCGACCATCGATTACTATCATCTCGCGGACCCCAGACAGGTAGTCAACATCTACTAACATGACTCAGTCCACTTGTCAGTGATTTCATGGATTTCTGCCATGTTTTGGTTTGGCCGCCCATAACTTTCTTCCAACTTATTCCTTTATCGCAAAACATAACTCGACGAGGCAGTCGGTGGTTAGGCATAAGTAAAAAATGTCTCAATCACCTCAATCGATGAAGTTTCATCACTTCATCTGTTGACCTTCCATCCTTACCTAGCACTCGTTTCCTAACAACAGCATTGCTTACTCGGCTGTACCAGGACACTCGAGAAATGCTTCGGAGACGCCTATAGTCAAAAACCAGTAACCTATGAATATCTTCTACTCTGACTGGTCATGTTTTACAGCCATATAGTTGGACGAAGAGAGCTACTGTGTAGCATACTCGTTCTTTAGTCTGAAAACGGATATCTCGTCTTCGCCATAAATGACGAAGGTTGGCAAAAGCCAGTCGAGCCTGTGCTGAAATTTCCTCAGTCACCAGGCCATCGGCACTGATGAGACTCTTCAGATCATTCACCTACAAATTTCAGTGAATTAAAATTTATCAGACTAAAAATTTAGATTTATTGAAACATAAAAATTCTTTTGAACTAACCACAATATTCATGTTCTTTGTATAAAGTCCATTACGACAACTAAATGGTGACATGAAGGCTGAAAAAAGAAACCAAAGAGTATTGATAAGCTTCCTATTATAATAACTCATCATAGTAAATTATATAAATTAGTTGTAATATAGAATCACAATGTATTAGCAGATCAAGTCTGCAATACTAACAACAGCTTCGTGTCAAAGATTAGTATTTATCACATATCCTAGACTACAGTTTTAGCCAAATATTGATTCAGTCTAATTTTGGGAATAATTAGTTAATGAAGCAGTGATGAAACTTCTATCTTGTTGAACTGGAATAATATTTGGTAAGAAGGTATTTGATATGAATGGTATTGATTTAGGCAGTTAAATCAAAGATCGAGTATTGTGATAAAAATTGTAATATACATAGCGATGTCTTTGTGGGTACTAATTGATAATCAGTCTACTAAACAATTTTGCTTACTGTTTGGTCTCAAAGTCTACCTAAAATAGAGTAGATAGCTGATTAAATGTATAACATAGTTTAAACAAATATTGTAATTATTTCATAAGGTGAAAATACCTTCATATTTGTTCTGACTTAAAAGATATCCGTAGAATCATTTAGATGTATGTGTTGTTTACATTATTTATTAATGCAAGTACACCAAGCCTTAAAGATCTGAAACTGTATAACAATCTTCCAGATATCGATATATCCTTGATGCTTCGAAATGGCATATATTTCAACCGTGAAGAACTTTCATTGGATTTCGTGGTTTCCCAACATCTGCTTACAATCAAACATAATAAAGTACAACAATAAGCATGAAAATATACTCGTAAACGTTGCTTGAACGAAACCTTGGAAGAAGAACTGACTTTTCTCAGCACTTTCAAATGCATTTACCAATCTACATGTACATACAAAAGCATGCACCTTGGGTGAACAGAGAGAAGCGTTCATATTCACATTAACGAAAAATTTGAGATTGAGAGGTGCAGGTACTCTAAATAATGCTATAGCTAAAGGGCATATAATTGACTTCTCCCAATCTTTCCAATTTATAAACAGACCAAAAGCTGTAGAGTCTCTCCAGTTTACCGAAGCACTGGCGATCAAAAAAAACTTAAACCAGATTAATGTGTCCAGAAAGAGACGGTTATCTCCTTATCATTACATTGTTAGTTAGTATCCACTCATTCCTCTAAGCCTATGTAAACCTCTTCAAATCGTGCCTACATATTGCGCGACCCCTCATTTACTGATCGTAGTTAATTTTGAATTCCATTGTCAAATGATCTCATTCCTGTTTACCCGTAGACAAATATTTAGTTACATAGTTATTATTATCGAAAACAATTAATAATTAGTCCAGATAAAGTATTCATGAAATGATTATAACATTAAAATGTCAACACAATCGGAAGTAGTTTTAGACAATATGCATGTAATAGTGCCGAACTCAAAATCTTACTGGCAGACTTTATTGATCAAAGAAATTCATTAAACGAACGTTAAGCAAATTACAGAACTGCATGCTTCAGACACCCAGGCAAAACAAAAAATTTGCCTTTTGTCATTATGTAAAACAAAAACAAACCAAGCTTATTCTCTTGTGATTTTTCTTCTGTTTTTATTATGTAAAAATAAACCTACAGTGCACATTGCCTACGTTTTTTTAATACAAATTCTTTGCATTGTTGATATAAAAATTAGACAGAATTCAGTTTGAACATTTAAACTCATTGAAATGAATTTTTTTTGTTTTTTGAAAGTCATAAATTTTGGATTCTTTTTTTTTATTTCCAATGTTACTGCTCGACTGTAATCTACCGAACGAATCAATTTTATGAAATGTAACACAAACGTCTGACAAACAAAATACAAGAAATATTCAGTAGGTTTAAAATTTTTATTTTCAACAGATCGATTAGTAATTGTGGTTGATACCAGCTTATATCGTAAATGTAAATTTAATGCTCTATGTTCCACTTTATCATTTGAATGACACCAGAAAAAAAATAGAGTATATTACTTGAAATGGTTACATGAAACGACATGTTGAACCAAGTCCGTTGGCCAGTCTATTAGACTTATATGAATAATGATAACTATACTAGATTGATATAGGTGTGTGGTAAATGTTAAAATATAAAAGACCTATCTAAGGGACTTCCAGAATAGTGCAGTACTAACCTATTAGATACTTTTTTTTCATTTTCTTATCTCGTACCTTGTCCAGATTGAATAACTAAAGTAAGAGGAGCTTACATTTTGGTCGAATCTATCATGTTAGTTGTCAAACGTAATAATAACAACAGATACTGTCAAATTCATGCATAAAAGATATCTGTTGTTACCTCAGTCAGTTGCAACGTAGAACTTCGTACGTATGTACATAAGTTCAGGTTGCGACACCACATTAACACAGAGACGCAAATGTCAAACCAAGTCCCATAATGATAGAGATAATAGAGGTATTGATGGTAATGAAGAAGACTAGGGTTTGAAGATATTATTCAAGAAGTATAATTCAGTGAGATAAAGTTAGAAAGACAAAGGTAGAGGTGCTGACGAAACCAGAAGATTAGGATTTGAGAGAAAACAACGAATGGATGCACTTGCGCCATTGCAAACGATTTTGAGCCATGTCGTTCAAGGTCTCTTACCATTGGTGACTTTCATCTTGCGGACTCCAACCAGGTAGCCTACCTAGATGTTAATGGTTTCTTTTTATTTAATAACACCTTATGACAGAGATGAACTCATACTTGTGAATTAATAAATCTCTTTTTATAATCACCAAATTACCCTCATTCAGTAGTATCTAAAAGTAATTAACTTAAAAATTAACATTTATGATGTTCCTTTATAGAAAATTATATTTTACTACCTGATGCATAAACTGTAAATGCCATTTTAAATTACAATGAAACCCGCTGTCTTATTTTCTATTTAATGTCTAAAACAACAAATAATTAATCTTAACAAATCTACAGGTTTGTTTAAATTATATACGTTCTGTATTTCAGCAGATTACTTTTCCTTAGAATAATTTCATTGAATCATTTATTTAAGGCTTTATTCACGTACTTACATTCCATTTGATATTTGTTTTTTATCTCTCAGTATAATAAGTTATCTTTACTACTTGTTGTTTGATTTTAAAATTTTTCTCATCGTATACTGTCGTCAGTATCTTCAACCCAGGTTAAGTAAGATCGTTAAAGGTATCTAAATTACATCCTTCAGAGTAGTATCAATTGATGTGAATAAATTTCCCTGCTATCGGTTTTGTACAAACTTCACTTTATTCAATTAGTTATAAAGATCCATTGACCTACAGTTTTAAATATTCTATCATAAAGCCTAAATTTAAGATGAAAAATAACCTAATCCAATCAATTGACAAAAACATTGAAATACACTGCCCATAAATTAAGATTAGTAAGAAGACATTAAGTCAAGTTAATTGTATAATACCCGTGAACTATATATATCTCATTTATAAAATGTAAAATACATTTACAAACTGTAAGTATTCATCATTTTTATCTGATAGCAGTGATTTTATTCACGATTTTCAGACGGTAATTATCAAGTCACATTTACAGTTTATAGTTTGAACTGCAGGAAAATTTTCATTTTTACACAACGTGATGAAATGCCTACTGAAAAACAACTACCTGATGATTTTTCCTATTTCAGATTTTAAACAATATGTGATAGAGTGAAATACTAATTATATGTATCTCATCCCACTGATTACAGCTTCTTACCAAAGCAACCACCTGTGAAATTTATATTCTGAATAATATTCTAAATATGAACATCTAAAATATAATTTATACCTATGGTGATATATTACATACTGGATTGTTTTATTCCTAAAAATTCGATACAAACTCCACAAAACCAAACAAAGGTTATGGTGTAGTGCTCATGGATAAAAATGATAAATGGGTGAGGTCGCGCAAAATCTCAAGATCAATCAGGGTTAGACATTAACACCGTTGGATGCCGGCCCAGTGGTCCAGAGGTAAGGCGACTCAAGACCAAAGGTCCTGGGTTCGAATCCTGCTGATGAGTCCTAAACCAAGAAAAAACGGCTGTTCAGTGCTTCCAGGTTCCTAATGGTGGTCTAACAATGATTGATTGATGATTTCAAATATATGCATCTAATCGAGTAATTATAAACGAAAGAAATTTGAAATATGGGTATTAAAAGCATTCTGAAATCGTTAAAAAAAACTATATCAAACCTTCGTATTTAAACTATATTTTAAATCTACTTCTCTGATAGATAGATAATTTATGAATTTCCAACTATTTTGGCATCTTCCCGACCTTGAATTACAACTTAAAGCTTACGAAGACAATTACAGTGAATTGATGTCATGTCTTTTCATTCACAGTAATATGTTAATCAGTAATGGATGTAAATATCGCATTTTCATATTATATTTCGTGATATTTATTTACATAGAAAAAATAATAAATGTGTATTGACGTTTGCTTACTTATGCACATTTTTAAAAAAATTCATAAAATAAATATAATCCAGTTCGATGTCAAAATGAAAGTTAATTGACTGCATTTAAATTCATATATATATATATTGTTTCCATAAAACATTTTTAGTAATAATGTAGTTTTGATGAACATGAGTAGAGTTTGTAAAAGTTCATGAAGTTTGTATACAACTAAGTAAGTAGTTTATCGTTTTTTTTGTTTGTTTAATAAATGTCATTCTTTTAATTTATAAATAGCCAATCAAAGTATTCATATTGAACATTGAAATATGATTGGTGTAACTGTGTAATTGCTTTCATAAATGTTCAATGATGATAAATCAGTAAAATGACAGACAGAAATGACTGGATATACTAGAAATCTTAGTCTAACATTATTAGTATATCACTTACTGCTGGCTGCCATTGTGAGACTTTCTGTCCGCTTTTGAATAATGATTTATAATATCATTGATACTTTATTATCACTGATCCCTAAAATTGGGTTACGGTTTACAATTTCACTCTTTTATTGATTTTTTGATTTGTGGTCTAGGGTTTACACAGAGACGTATGTATTATTCAGAGCAGTAAAGCTGACTTTCTGTGACTGTGACTTACTATTAAACGTATATCGATTTAATACTAAGTATCTATGGTTCATATTGTTGATATTCAAACAAACTATATTTTTGGTTCATGCAGAATTTCCTTGCCTTAATAAATATTGTTTAACGAGAATATTACTTGAAATTATTTTTTTGAAATACTACAAAACATATTAACTTATTAATGCATACATGGCAATTTATTTTTAATGATTAATTTAAACTGATGAGCGTTAAATGAAATGAACGTATATTGAAAAGAGTATTATTCACTCACCTGTTAGTGTATCTCAATACAACAAAGGTTTTGAAAAGTAGCACTTTATTGTGAAAACTTTTATGAGAGCAAATACCCAGTTTGTTAGACATAATTAGTGTAATTATGTCAAATGTCTTCAGAAAGTTCATATTTTGTTTCACGCAGAGTTTATCAATCAAAAGCCTCTAAATTTTATAACGATTTTCACTGAATAATGTGTCACATATTAAATAGCATTCCTCAAACATAACTATTTATCTTCATTGTGTTATCGCAAATGTAGTTCATAAAGAAGAGTGGGGTAATTTAAACTTGCCTTATTTCAAAAGTACCTTCTAAATATGATGATAATATTTTTCATTGAAATATTACGTTTTCCTATTAATGGCAGTTTTTGAACTTCCTACAGACAATAATGACGAATAGTTGAAAACTTTTAATGACATGACTTAAGATCGTTTGCAGTGATGCAGATAAATTCATTCTTTATCTTTTCTCAAATTGTAATCTACTTAATTACTCATAACGTTTTTTTTCTCTTTTCAAATTTATTTCATGGTATGATACTTCTTGATTCATGGCTTTGAACCTTAATCTTCTTCTTTGAACTTATTTGAACTCCATCTCTCTGTGCTTATGCAGTAAAGAAATTTGAACTGAAGTATGCACATACCAAGTTTTACGTTGCAGTTGACTGACTGAAGTGCACTTATATATTGAATTCACTAGATTTGTTGAAAGCAAATAAAAGTACAAGTGATAAATCACAATATATTAACTTGGTCTTATGATAACATGAATACAACCTGTTACTTTGACATGAACTAAAATTCATTTTCCATTTTATTTTAAAATGAGCATCTAAACAGACACTTATTTGAGCAAAGCAAACGTGAACTTCACTTTGATAATTTTTCGTCTCATTTTAACATTTATTTATGCACGTTTTTATTTACTTAAATGATTTTCAAGAAATCAAGGTTGAGAATTATTCGAATGACCAGGAAAATAAACAACGAAATGATTGGTAATTTTGTTTATATGCATTGCTTTTGTACGTGTATGTACATCATTGTTTCAGGACATGAAATTGTCGGTGGATAGATAGTGAAACAAGTATGTTTATCAAACAGCAGACATTTACATAAGGCAAGTGATTTAGGTGGTTTTTTTTTTGCTAAAACAAATAATTCAGTCAGATAGAGAGATGATGTTTATTAGGTTCCTTAAATCATAACAAAATAAAACGAGATAGATGAGGTTTTGTAAATTTGATAAACTAGCGTCTTTTAATTGTCAATATTTTATTTTGTTTGTTTGGTGAATTTGAACGTAAATTTGAGTAAACATATTCAACTGTGTCACTTAGTTGAATCGAAATATAAGTAAAATAAATATATACCGACTGTTCAACTAATAATAATAATGATAATCATTTCATGAATTAATATTATTTGATAACAATTGGTTGTTTGAGTTGAAAATATTGCTAATTTTATCAGAAAAAAATAAAATTACTCTATTTACGGTGGTAGACGCTTTGATTATTACTGTTAATATTATTATTATTATTATTATGAACGGCTTCATTAACTTTTGCAAGAGCCTTCATAAATGTTCGATAAATTTCCCAGTCTTATAGAAACTTGCAATCAATTTATTAAGTTTAACTAACTAGAGTTTGTGAGGGATACTCAAAATGATATTTACGAGGTCATATCAAAAAACAAAGTTTCTGTATAAATATGCTTTAAATTCTTAAATAAATCGCTAACAACATAGTTAATTCTAATTGATACAGCAACCTGCAGTTTTCATTGAGTTTTCTTTAATTCAAATATTAATTTGAATTTGATGCCAAGATTGCAAAATCTGGGCAGCATCATCGACAGTCAAGGTGGATCCAATGTAGATGTGAGGGCGCGGATTGGCAAAGTAAAGGCTGCATTTCTACAGTTGAAAAATATCTGGAACTCCAAACAACTTTCAACCAAAACCAAAATCAAGATTTCCAATACAAATGTCAAGACAGTTCTACTGTATGGAGCGGAAACCTGGAGGACTACGAAAGCCATCATCCAGAAGATACAAGTGTTTATGAACAGTTGTCTACGCAAAATACTTCGTATTCGTTGGCCAGACAACATCAGCAACAACGTACTGTGGGAGAGAACAAACCAGATTCGAGTGGAGGAGGAAATCAGGAAGAAGCGGTGGAAGTGGATAGGACACACAATGCGGAAAGCACCCAACTGCGTCACGAGACAAGCCCTTACATGGAACCCTCAAGGCAAAAGGAAAAGAGGAAGGCCAAGGAACACACTACGCCGAGAAATAGAGAAAGATATGAGAGGAATGAAGAAACATTGGACAGAACTGGAGAGGGAAGCCCAGAACAGAGTTGGTTGGAGAATGCTGCTGGTGGGCGGCCTATGCTCCATTGGGGGTAACAGGTGTAAGTAAATAAGTAAGATTGCAACACAGTTATTTATAAAAATGCATTTTTTTTGCCTAACTCTCATTAACTGCTATCTGAATTCAATAAGCTGTTTGCACTATCTCATACATGAAGTCAAATTACCAAATAAACATTTTAAAAAAAGTTACAAATAGTAAAAACAAACGATTGTTTTGTTAAATGCACTCTTCATCAGTCCGATTGAAATTCTCAACAGTAGATAATCTACTTATATTACACTGTTTCAGTTTGAAACACTGAAACATCGTTTCCTTTTTTGCATAAAATTTAAAGATGGACCTCACCTACTGAGTATCTTTGTGAAGAATTCTTCTGTTTACAGTGGAAGTTGAATCAGAATCGGGAAGAAAATATGACGTGAAGTTATAATCGTATAAAAAGCCTAAAACAAATGAAGTATATTGTAAAGTGAACATAAATTACCAAGCAACTGACTTTTACAGGGCAAACACACAGTCATATATGATTTTACTAATCCATTGAATAATTAGCACATTTTCATGGAAAAATTGGCTAAAATTTCAGGGATCTCATTGGCATTCTTCTGAGATAGTAACATAACACATTTTTGATTAGATAGACTGTCACCACATTTTAAAACCATATCTTGGATGAAAACAATTTTGTTGTATAAACTAGTTTGCTTTAAAATATTAGTAACAGATCATGAACATGAGGATGTTCAACATGGCTAACAAGTTCACGGAATACATTTAGCTTTTATTGGTGATTTTAGCGACAAATTTATGATTTTATTGATTTGCTTACTCACTGATTATTTAAAAAGAATGATAGTATGAATACTATCTTCATCACTACTCAATACTGATGATAGTGTATAGTATCACCAGACATATTACTAAAAGTACTTTAAATCACTGACTTAACGTATTGTGTTATTTGTACTTGTGTTTAGATAATCAACATGAAAAATTCAGTGGTATAATTTAAAAAGACGAACTTTTCTATATCAGTTGGCCTCCTGTTCATGATACTTAACAAGTAAGCCTTAGGAGTCAGGTGCACGTATTTGCGGTTACCATGAGGAATCTTTCCATTGTGCACTTACAAACTAATCATCAGTAAATTTGTAATCAAACAACTATGTGAGCAGTGTTATATATATATGTATATATATAAATATATATATATATATATATATATATATATGTTTATATATATATATATTCTATTTCCAATATATTGTCTACTATGTTGCTTCACTTTTCATTCAAGCTCTCTACGGATAGACGCTTAATAACATATTTATTACAACGATCAGCTTACTGAAATTTAACAGTTTCATGACAGTAAATCTCTGAAACTAAATCGTTTGAATTGTGGAGTTTTTCGCATAATTGAAAAATGTTGCAAACTAGAACTCCACTAATCACAACTTCTAAGTAGAATCCGTGAAGAAACTCTGAAAGTTGAACACTGGTTAGCTTGTGATAATATTTTTACATGAAATAAATTTGTACTGCCTTGTTTGAGTTAAAACCTCAAATCAAAAAAGAGGAAATAACAATTAACAAAATATTTTCTGTTATTATAATACACTGATAGCTAATAGTGCTCAAGAGAGTTAACATTCTGCATATTCATAGTGAAAGTCCGCCAGTAGAACCTTGGGGGCTACTGCCGGTCCCAAGCCCGGATAAAGGAGGAGGGTTGGGCATAGGGATGGCGACCCCA